TCTATAAGTCCCCCAGAACCAGAATAATAGGGTTCGAAGTCCCAAAATACTAGAGAAATTGCAAAACTTTCGCACCTTAATACCGAGGTACCTGCAACCTTCACTGTTTGATGTCTTCGCTTACCGAAGAGTTCCTTAATTCCAAAACCCTCACCCCAAAACAACAGCAAAGCCCCCGCACCTCCAGCTCCAATGAACCTGGGCGATCACCTCACCCTAGCTTGGGCCAAGTGGTCCCAACCCCCCAATGTTAGATTAGGGTTGGTTTAGGGTTTGGGGTTTGGGGTTTAGGGATAAGAAGGGATCTTACAGATTGGAATTTCCATTTGTTAAAAGGGCTGAGGCCGAGCGGAACATGGCGCAGTTGTTGCCTAGTCCTAAATCTTAGATCCTTAACAAAGGCTGGCCTCGGACAGATCACAAACCCTAGTTTTCTAGTTATTTTCCATCTAAAGTTCTTTTCTATATTGTTGATGGAAGAAATCTTGCACCACCCAAAGTCCCTAAAGTCCTAGGAATTACAGTAGAATAGGGCCCCTAGGTGGTGCAAGATTTCCTCCATCAACCGTATGTTTTTTTCATTTTTGCCGTGGCATCCCTAAACCTTATCCCCTACATTTCCTACAGAGTCCCTGTACAATCCCCGCAGTACCACAGGAAGCTCCTGGGGTCAGCGCCGGCTTGAAGGTATGCATCCAGCTCAGCGGCCTCGACCACTGTTGGACAAATTTTTCAAGATCTTATATTTGGGGGTTCAGATAGGCTTTTCGAGTAGGTTTTTAGCCCCGATAAGCCATACACTGCCCCCAGTTGTTTAGGGTTAGGGTTTAGTTATCCCCATTATTGAGCTGCTTGCTAACGCCCCCTGATTTGGGATTTCAGGGTTCTCAACCTGTTCTCAAGAAGATGTTAGAAGTTTCTAGTTTCCGAGTTTCAGGGATGCGTGGCTTAGGTTTGAAGGTTTTGCGCATGGTGCCCAAGCTCGAAGCCTTGTTCAAACAAACAAAGTGACACCACACTTGATCCACAGCCTCATGACTAACCCCCAAGTTGTGCACGTCACGAGTCGCCTCTATTGACGCTCTATATACCCACTGAATGTGCCACAAGTTGCCTGATGGATTCTTTTGGATTGCTACATGCCGTCTTCAAGAGCTGGAGTAGGCTTGAGGACTTAAGTCTGCATGCTGCCCTACGAACTCTAGACAGCATTCCAAAACCCCACACTAGAGGGCACATACTCATGACTTGACATGTTTGACCTGCATCCCGACCCCAAACAGGCAATTTCATCCAAGAATCACGTCAGCGGCAGAATCCGGAACTGGCTGGCATTCACGAGCTACGGGCGAGGTGCGGTGTTTGTTTAACGTTTTTGTTGTTGGACAAGGGTTGGAAATTCTGAGATTTCGAAAGTAGCACGCGAGGGAGGCTCCAGTTTTTGTCTAGGGCTTCCCAAACGCCAGGTTCCCAGGTACGTGTGTTTAATTCTGCATGTCCGACCTTCGTCAATAGTTTGCTGTCCTTGGGCCCTTTATGAACCATGCAATGCGTAGAGCTTTCCGAAGCAACAACCCCCTGCACCCCAAACCCTAGACCTGCCCTCCTAAGCCTGAACCCCAAATTTGAATAGGAACCCTTAAACTTGTTGGTCTCGCAACTTTTAGCTTTTGGCTCCACGCCTTCGGAGCTCAAACCCTAAACGTACCTCCCATGAGGACGCGAAAGCGACCAAGCGGCGACCAGACAGAACGATTTTAGGAGACGCACGCTGAGCCCTGTAGGGGCCAGGACAGTCAAAGCTTTGCTCGAGCATCAGGGGTGCCATCGCATGCCTCCAGTCCAGTTTTGAAGAAGCCCTTGGCTGGAAGAAAGTGCAAGAGTCCCGCAAAAGGCCTCCAGCAGGGCGTGATGGCGCAAGGGCAACCGCCTGCATGTCCCTATACGTAGAAGCTACTGGCCAGAATTTCCATGGTTTACGTATCTGGGGGCGTAGTCGTGCAGGATTGTGACATCAGCTGTAGTTATCACAACAGTCGCAACGATGATTATGGTGATTGCTTCATCCAAGACTACTGCGGGTAAATTAGAGCACACGTTTGCAGGTGCCAGTTGTTCGTAGCAACCATTCTTATGCATCAGTTAGCGGCAATCGCTGGAAACCCACTGGTAGTTGGTTAAGCTCTTTGCTTGGTTTCTGGCAACACCGGACACGCATGAGAACCCTGGATCTGAGAGACTGTCGTGGCACTTCTGCATCGCTGAAGTCAAAACAAATGGGAAACAAACTGTTTGCCAGTGAGTGTTTCACTTTGGCATTGTTGCCTGTCCATTCCAATTTTGAATATTGCGCGCTTATTGCGATCTGAGTTTCCCAATTCTGCATATCCTCAAAACAAGGGGGCTGAATTATACCTGGTAGCCCAAAGTAGCTAGTCTCGAAAGTTTGAGGACGTAGGGTGTCGGGGGGGGGGGGGTAAAACCTGACCCGTATTCCAAATATGTACTATAGTCTAAACTCCTTAAGGGGGATTATATGGGGGACTACTATAGGGGTTATTCAGGGGGATACTAGGAGTGTAGACCATAGCTCATATGTTTACGAGCGCGTTGGCAGTCGAAGCTGCCAGGACTGGAGGGGCAAACTTGAATGCCAAAGTTTTTCCAGCAGGTGGATTCCTGTTTTGCGGCTTCAGTGTACTTACTGGTGGTTAGTTGGGAATCAGGGAATATAGTCCCTAAACAATCCCTCTGTACTATATATTCCCTGATTCAATTCCCTACTAACCCCCAGTAAGTGTAGGGAATAGCCTGGCTTTGGAAAGCTTAGTCTGGCTTGAAACTTGTGAGCGAAAAGTCTGCCAGATGGATCCAGCAGGATTTTCCTGGGCCTGCTGCATCGTGATCTTCTTACAGGGTTCGAGAGGTTATTTTACTGGTGCTTAGTAGGAAATAAGGGTGTGTGTATATATACATATATATTATACATATATATATATATTATATCACTTAGGGGATTACAAAGGGACTATACTCCCGTATTCCCTACAAACCACCGTTGCCAGGGTTACAGAGATTATGTAGGATTTAGGGTTAGTGCCTTTTGTGCATGGTGTGGTTTGCTGGGGGGGTTCTTGTTGGGACCGCGCCTGAAAAGTGCAGGTCTTAAGGTCTTGGGGGCGGTGAAGGGTTTACTGGGTTGCTGCTAAGGAACTTAAATTAAGTTACTATGTTGGGGAAAACCTATAAATTACTATATATACCCATTATGGTAACTTAATTTAAGTTCTTTAACAGCAACCCAGTTTAGGGTCTAGAGTTGGAGTGAAATTCACCGAACAGCTTGCTCGCGCCATACGAACCAAGGGCTCTTGAAGGCTCAGGAGTCTTGATACTTGCGGCCTCAGATGGGGTAAGAAGAAACCCGACATCCACACAGCATATAGTCCCCCTTAAGTAGATAAAATATGGCTTTGGGTGTACATAATGAGATCCCCATTTTCTATCTACTTAAGGGGGGCGATAATCCAGAAGTTCCCGGAGGGCTTGGCAAAAGAGCACGGCTCACTCGCCCAGCTCAGGGTGTTACATTTGCAGGAGTTAGGTTTGAATGATGGGTGGTGGTAGTAGTAGTAGGAGTAGTAGGAGTAGTAGCAGTAGTAGCAGTAGTAGCAGTAGTAGCAGTAGTAGTAGTAGTAGTAGCAGCAGCAGCAGCTTTGTGTGCATGCATGGAGTTGCAAGATTTGAGTTGCAGCTGAGCAGTACTGGCCCTTGCTCCTGTTTGGCCGGTAAACCTTCTGGCAGCAGTTGTTTTGAACAGCTGTGGGAGATCTTCAGAAGGACCAAAATAAGCTGGACCTATGACATGGCATATGAAGATTCCAAGGTAGGAAGCAAGTTTGTTTTCGTTGTTTAGCGTGAATCTGGCTTCTGGGGGGCTTAGCTGAATATCTCAGAAATCCGTCTTCGGGTGCAGGGCCTGTTGAAAACTACAACGTGCAGCAGTGTTGGTCCTTTGGCACTGCACAGCGTTTTGCTTTTGTTGCGGGAGCACTGTAGCTAGCGCAAAGCGTGGCCTGCGGAGAAAAAACAGCTTTTTGACAAAAGTGCGCCGAGCAAAACTCACTAGTAAGGTCCGTATTGACGTGGATGCCCACTTTTAAGACTGCACAACCTTTGTCGAAAGAATTGGGAGGTGTCGTCATTCCCCTTTCGTGCGGCGCATGTTTGAATCCTTCACGTGGAGTGTGGTGTGAATAGCTATGCGCCTCTGGGGCTCGCCCTACCCCCTAGCCGGGCTCCTCCCGGTGCACTGTCTTCAGACTACTGGGAACCTCCCTACATAGAAATCATAAGTCATAACAGGAATCATGAAGTGCCTTTTTAGGCCTAGGTTCCGTGATTCCCTGGAATTTCAGCAGTGAGGGACCTAAAGTTGTGCAAGGTGTCTTCCACCTTCCGAATATATTCTACGTTGGTCTATGGGCATATTGTCTATCAAGTGGGATCTTACCTGATGTGAAGAGCCAGGGTATGATCCAAATCTTATTTCATCGTCTTTTTGTACAAGGACGGCACGTCAGTTTTCATCAATCAATAAACTTGTGTGCTCCAGCCAAGTCTGAATGCCTAATGGAAAAAAGGAGGCAGCGGAGTACAGAGTATAAGCTGGAGGCCATTGTCTTTGCCATTGCTATTATGGCGGTCATCCTCCTCCCCTCTTCATAAGTTCGCCTTCTCGGTGAAGCATCTGATCTCATGACACGTGGGTAACGCGGCCAGGATCTTGAAACCCAGATACTTGACAACCAAACCGGACCTCATGTTCATGTTGTTGGTGGACACAACCCTGCATAATCGTATACACTAACTAGCACTTCTGGTGCTAGATATTCCTTTGGTCAAGCAGGATTGCTGTCCAGCGACCGTGCATGCGCCTGCCCCACTGCAGCACTGTTGTTGATCGAGTTGAGCCCCACTGCCGTGTGGCGGCCACGAAGATGGAGGACGCGCAGGCGCCTGTTAGTACTCCCCTCCATGCGCTGGAAGTTGCAGACCTTGCTCCACCTAGGATTTCCAATGACCTTTACAAGTATAAGGTATGAAGGTTGGTGCAAGAGGTCCTGTCCACAGCAGCAGTGTAGCCTTTACCGAACCACTTTGCCTCGAACATCTTTGAATCCCTAGCATATCTGTTCTGTTCTGATTCCTGTATTCCCGAACTTTTTAGAGGTTCAGCGTGATTATAGCCGCCATATAGCCGCAATTATGACCTAGGTATAGCTGCTCTACATATGGTTTCCTGCATTATAACTGGCCAAAGACTACAGTTACAGGCAGGTCGGCCCTAGGCCTGTATTCCCCCACCTCAAGAGGCCCGTAAGTATCGTGGGTTCCCCTCTTACCCCGTAAACTACCCCCCCGTTCCCTGGCGCCCCCATCTATGAAGCTCATGTGTGGAATGCTCATTTCAGAGGTCATTGAAAACCCTAAACCCCACACCCTGAGAAAAAAGGGGATTAAGGAGTAGGGCTTTCAGGCCCTTAGTCAGGAAGAAGCCCTACTGGTTACTAGCAGGCCGTTGCAAAAAAAATGTTCAAAATGAGGGACCTTTGAAAGGTAGTCTTAGGCGGTGGCGAAACCCATAAGTAGGTAAAAACAGCGCTCAGCGCTAAACCCTAAATAGTTTCCATTTTCTTTTCCATTGCCCCAATATAACCCAATATAAACCGATATTACCCTATATTACCCTATATTACCCAATATAACCCTATATTACCCTATACCCCTAAACCTTAAACATGGTCAGGAAGCTCCTGCGGTGGTAGGATGTTTGGCCCTGCCCTCGGCCTGACTCTACGAGTTGGAGGTTTTGAGCTTCCTCGAATGATGACCCCATAATGCGGTATCAGTATACATTAGGATATATTAGGGGAATATTTGTAATTAGTGGGTTTGGGAGGGGTTTATCGGTACTGGGGGCTGATTGGCGCTTATCAGCCTTTTCAGGGCATATAGGGTTCAAAGTTAGGGTGACTGGGTTACTGCGGAATATGTGTATTTTTTTGTATGGTTTGGGGGTAGGGTGTCGGCTGAGTGGAGTTTAGGCTTTAGGGCTCGAGGGCCACGCACTGATGTGTCAAAAGTTACGGGCCTAGATTTCTGTATAGTGATATGCTAATTACTTATGACTAAGAATTGGTACGAATAGTATGCCAATGATAGTAAGTAGTAGTACAGTGACCTCATGGCAGGAAAGGTTTGTTGATTTGAATGACAGGTTTCTTTGCAATTGCACTTTTTTGTCATCCCTCGTGTCGAACCCTGTACTAGCCCTCCCTAACTGCCCTTCTGCCCTTCCCCGGCAGAAGGCCCAAATTAGCTTCACATGGGTCCTGTTTGGAACCAATTTTCGGGGCAGGTAGAGGGGGAGTTGGGTGTGCGTATATGGCTGCATCATGGTCAGCAGCAGCTAGCTAGCTAGTAGTTTCCATTTTCGTTTCCATTATCCCAACATAACCCCAATACTGCCCCCATATAACCCCAATATAACAACCATATAACCCCAATATAACCCTAATATATACCCTACAACCCCTATGTGGTTCCACTTGCGCGGGCCAATTTCAGGGCAGCATGCAGCGGAAGTTTCAGCATTATGTGGACAAGACCACTGTATGGACCAAGACAAGGCTATCGTTTTCAAGATGATATTGGGCTAATATGGGGTTACATGGGGTTATATAGGGTAATATTGGGTAATATTGGGTAATATGGGGATGATATAGGGTAACATGGGGTTATATAAGGATAATGGAAAAGAACGTGGAAACTACCATATAGTATATTGGGCTTATGTAGGGTTGTGGGGATTCACGTACGTCGGGTTATATAGAGTGCAGGAACATCACGAAGTTCTCAATGCTGCGGGTCCTTTTCAGATGTTTTTTTATTTGTCATGTCCCCTAAGAATCCCCCACCCCGTAGTAATAAGTACTCGTCCTCATTGCGTTAATGTACGGACAGGGTTTTGCCTGGGGGTGAGGGACCTTTAGTGTTGGCATGTGGCCAGTTAAAACCAGGGTTTAGGGCTTGGGGCTTAAGGTTTTGAATTGGACTTGGGGCTTAGGGTTTAGGGTCCAAACTGCCTCGCAATCCTCGAAGGTGCTCCTGCATGAAGTCGATCCAACTAGTTTCTTGTATGAAGTGTGGATGAGTAGCCAGCAAAGCTACCAACCAGACTTCCTTCGGCCTCTAGTGCGCAGAGGCGCTTTGCAACAAAGCTTCAGAGTTCAGGGTTCGGGGTTCAGGGCTTAGGGCTGAGGTTTGATGATATTCAAGGAGGGGCTTTTAGGGAACAGGTTCAGGAATCCGCGATGCCCTCGCGCCACAGTCCGTATCCCTCCTACGAAGTACCAGGGGCTGACAACAGGACGCCCTCATATAGTATATGTATAAATAGATCGAGATAAGAAATGAGAAATCAAGGAGTGTGGGCGTGTGTGTGCAAAAACAACCAAACCTGGGCTGGGAGAATCTATAGCAGGTCATCATACCTTCTTCCCACCCATGCGAAGGTATGTTTTATGGGAAGGCATCCCCTGGATTCTTTCTTTACAGTTTCGTGCATGTGCATGACCAGCATTGAGAAAACAGCTTACTGGCGTAGGAGAGAATGTAGGGGAGTCTTGGTTTTTGAGTTTCAGAAGGCCTTGTGCATGCACATGCTGGGCCAATCCTACATATTCTTAAGCTGGCAGCATTCTTGAAAGGTCGCCCTGCGGATTTTGGGGGGAGCAAACACAACGCCCTAGTCTTGGAAGTTGCCTTTTTCCCGTAAGCGCATATGATTCCACTAATCTGTTTTTTTGTTACTATAGCCCTTGAAACCTTACTGAAGCGGATAGCTCCCCATGCTGGGCAGGAAGATATTCAAGTTGACCCGTAGGCATGCCACCCCCAGCCCAAAACCGCCAGGTGGCTGGCACTTGTCGTGTGCCTGCTCCTTTATGTCGCCAGGTGGGCTCGGGTGTGCCCAAGGGCTCTAGTTTCTCAGGTCTGGTCCTAAAACCTAAACCTGGAGGGGGGCGACGTTACTTCCCAACCTTGCAGCTAACATCCCGGAGCCCTTGCAGGTTGAATTTTTGAGGTTTTGGGCACCCAAGGTTCATGGCGAGATTGCGCACTAAATGTGAGGCTTGCTGGCATAGGGGTACTGCCAGCTTCTTGAAGCACTTCACTCCCTTTTGACAGACCCTTGCACTGGAAAATATCCAGGATATTGCAGATTTTAGGGATGATTCATCTGCAGTAAGGAATCATGTTGATGAATTGGGTGATGGCTAAATCATGTTGATGAATTGGGTGATGGCTATGGGGTTTGGGTAAGGGGCTTGAATGAAGCATGGGTTATGGCAAGAATTCTCCCTAAGTCCTACATGTCTTTACTTCCTAAGCTAAGCGCTCGCTAGGCTTTGAAGCTTGCTGAGAAGGGGGGGGGACGCTGTCTGGGGAGGGAACGTCGGGGAAGCCATGACACTGCGCCTGGACGGGAGTTTCTCAGGGAGTGTTTCAATGTCAAAGGCCCTCATATTTTCCAACAAGCACCTGGGGTCCCTAAGACCGAGTCCGAAGGCCCCGGACCCTATAGCCCCCCTTAAGTAGATAAGATATGGGGTGTATGGGGATCTTATTGTAACATACCCAAAGCCATATTCTATCTAAGTAACGGGGACTATAAACCTTCACTTGACCTGTCTGCCGCGCAGGGTCTACTTGATCCAGGGCTTCTACATCGTGTCCTACGGCCTGGGGATCTACTTGCTGAACCTGCTGATCGGGTCACCTTGCTAAACATCTTCCCAGATCTAAATGCATTGTGGTAAAGCAAGTTTGTGATAACATGGTCTCCTGTGCGCAAAGAAGCCCAGTGGGAGGGGCCTTGACATTTGGAAAGTCTGGCATAATAAGCAGCCAAGTAGGATTTGATGATGGTTTCAGCCAGAATACTTGGAAACCCAGAAGATCTTGCTCATCTGGAGCGTCCAAGATTCAAAGTTTGTTTCATGTTGCTTGCGGACCGGGCAAGATTTTGGAGTAAGGGCGTCAAAGTTGGAGAGGGGGGGGGNNGCAAGGGTTTTAGCATTTAAGAGTGCGGCCTTTCAGGGAACCACGCGAGGAACTATGAAAGCAAGTCACTTTACACACAACAACCCCCTAGAATATTGACAGCTTTGGGTTGTTCGGGTTGTAGCAAGGACTGGAGCCAGTTGTGGAATTCGGCTACGACCGGAAAAGCCATTGTCGCAAAACATTTCTATACCAAAGTTTTAAGTTATGATGCTCCTCACAATCCCATCAAGACAAGTCCCATAGCCTGCATGCCGTATCAAGCCAGTCGTTCCAAATCATAAAACTGAAAATGATGCTCATGTTAAAGTCTGTTCAGAGGTAGCACAGATCGATGGGACTGCTGGACTTCAATGGCCGGCCTAACTGGTTTTTGACTAACCCCAAACCCGCAGATGGAACACCCGAACCGTACGCCATTGCCCCGAAATGTGGAACTGCACATGGGCCCCTTGATGTCTTATCTGGTGTCTTCGTGGGTACCATTCAGTTCAATGTTAGTTTAGGTTAGAACATGGTAGTCTCTTCAATATAGATCAAAAAATGCAATAGTCCTTATTATATGGACCCCCNNTACCCCCGAATTTTGGGAAACCCCCATATGTAGAATGGAGCAGGTAATGTTCAGCCCAGGTTCCTATCACCTGCGGTTGATCCCGAAGTGGAGGAGGCGGCGGCAGGAAGTTGCATGTGCTATTTCTGAGAGATTAGGGGTACCATTTTGGGGTCCCTATAATATGGACTATAGATTTTTTTGGTGTCTATACTGGGGTCCCCTTATTTTGTACGTCTTTCTTTCCGACGCAGCGAGAGAGTACTCTTGGCATTTGGACCTCTGGGAACGTGGTGTTGCTTAGCTAGGTCACGAAGGCCGTATGACTATATTCAGAAAACATAAAACCATGTCGCAATCAATGATCAATCGCTTATGCAGTTTTGGCTTTGTTTGAGATGTTGCTTTCGAACTGATGAAAACTACAACAACACATTCCGGCATTGCTCCAGTCATCATGACAAATGATTGCTGCTATTGCAGATCCCTTAGCCCTAGACCCTGGATCCGCAGGTCCTGCCCACGAAAGAAGCAGCCGAGTTTCGTCCCTTCACGTCTGGAGCCCTTGACAACCACCATGAAATGGCTTGCTGAAATGGCTAGCAAGAAGTAGTGTGCGTGTTGGGGTTCAGGCCCTTCAGGCACGGGTGTTGTGATTTCCAAACCTAGGCTGTGTTGAAAGGAGTGTGGAGGGAGGCACCCGCAACACATAGATACGCTCGATGGTGCCTGTGGTATCACGGATCTCTTCTAGGGAATATGTCATATTAGCAGGTGAGGTGGGGGGGAATAGTATGAAGGGGTTCTGTGTCATAACAGCGGTCCCTGAAGGCATCTCTAGAGCTGTGGCTACATTTCTGTTACCCCCGTTGCGTGTGATTTCTTGTACAGTCCCCCTTAAGTAGAATCTGGCTTTGTGTATATTACAACAAGGTCCCCATATACTATACCCCATATTCTATCTACTTAACGGGGACTATAGGGCGCAGGCTTCTCTTGCTGGCTGTGCCTCGTCCTTTTTTGCTTTCTGGCCACAAGCCTTCAGCAGCTAAACCATAAACCCAATATTAGCTAAATTCTAAACGCCTTGAAGGGGGTTATATAGGGGACTATCGAGGAAACTACTAGCGGGGTGATTAAGGGGGAGACTAGATCTTAGCCTATGGCCCATATACATTCCACTTCTTTTCCATTATCTTGTCTATTTGATTCTCCATTATTGGGGTAGCTCACAGCCCTTTACCTTCTAGAACCCCTGTATACTGTAGCTTCCATTTCCTTTTCCATGTCTTCATTTTGGGGTCATTCAAAAACCCCTACCCAATTTCATATGCACGACAGTTCATGAGTTGTTGAAAATTCAAAAAATGGTGCACGCGAAAGGGCTAGCCATAGTCCAACTTATCCCTCGCAATGCAGGCCGCTACCGGACACGCGGCTTTGTTTTGGATTGATAGAACATGATAACTTAGCAAGTTGGTGATTTTTGGGTGTTCGCGAAACGGCGCGAAAAGGCTACGCTAAAGACCCATTTCCGGGAAGAGGAATATTGAACACCCCCCTTCGATTTTCCAAGATGGAGTTTTACCCCTAAACTTGGAGGTTGAAGGGTTGAGCCACTGTGCAGGGACTTCATAATGCCCCGTTCACAGACAATCAAGGAGAAGGGGTTAGGCATTATTGCGGGATTGAATTATGCGTTGTATTACCTTTGCTCCTTCACAGGAGCAAAAACAAACATGCAAATATGCATAACCACTAGTGTCCATGTATCTATGTAGTATATACTTCGGGCCCAAAGTAGTTCTATGGGAACCATTTTGGGCCCAAAGTGTACGCTATATACGTACATTGACCCTTTCGTCATTACCTGAAACTTCAAAGTAGGTAAAATTATGGCCTAAAAGCTTCAATACACAAGCCAAAAGGCCATTATTCTACACACCCTAAACCCAAGCAAACCCTGAACCCTAAAACGAGGGTCCAGGTACGCCTAAGCATCTTAGCATCCGAAAGTCATTGAACTGGGCAACGCCCACCTGCCCCCTGAAATCGAAAAACTGCTAGACCCTCAAAGAGAGTGGGTTTGGAGGGTTTGGGTTTAGGTTCAGGGGGTCTTTAGGGGGGGTTTAAGGTTTAGGTTTAAACATAAACCCCCAGATCGCAGACCTCCAAGAATTTCTACACGTCTCACTCCCAAAGCAGTCTTTGAACCCTCGACACCCAAACCGAAGACTTGTGATTTTTGATCCTCAAACCCCGCAGTCTACACATTTTTAAGACTGGTGAGCAAGCTAGGTATACTTAGCCTCTTCGTCAACTAGGCTTGGAGACATGCCTCCAGACCTTTAGCCCTTAACTGTGACTTTCGATTGCTCTTGAGGAAGTTAAAGCTAAGCTACCGTGATATGGACCTGTAGTAAATGATACGGTTTCCTGATAGTGAACTGGATGCATTTTTCTCAGCAGCATTCCAGCAAAGCCTAAACCCTACAAGGCGCAAGCTCCCAGAGTTCAAGTTCTGGTTTGGAGCCATTCGCGCGGCAGCCCTTGCTTGCCTTGTTTCTCTTGGGTTGTGCGGGTTAGGAGGCCAATTAAACGTTCACGGTGTTGGGCTGCTAAGGCCTATGAGTTGAGAGTGGGGAAATGTTGAGAGGCCACAGCAGCAAGATATAGGTTAACAGGCACAGACAGCGCAGTTGTACGCCAAATGATAAACGCCAGAGGGGTTCCGCATACCCACATGCGCTGCACACTGCCACTCACGCCCGAGCATGCCTTCCATTTTCCTGGAGCGCTGACCCTAGACCCAAGCGATACTCGCCCCCAAACTAACATGGAACCTCATAAAGCCCCCATTAGAAGGGACTGTTGTCTTCAGGGCAAGTCAGTGGCCTCCAAGCCCCTTCACCCTTTCAGGGCGGCAGAGCTGTGAAGGAAAAGTTCTACATCCGGCTGGGTGGCCATCTGTATGGCCATAGAAAATGTATCAACTGTGCTTGAGATGATAGTTTCCTCCATGATTCTGTGTACCTCATACTTGGGGGGATAATCGTATTCTAGATAGCCTTCTTTGACTGTGCCTCGAAGTACTTTCAACTGACCACGACTCCTCGTGAGAAGTCGCAGGCCCTCAACATCCTTGGCGACTAAAACTGTTGACCTTCCATCGCCCGTCATGCCGTTTTACTCTCGGCCCCTATGGTCAGAGACACTTTGTCACGCACAACTGTGCCTCATGGTTCGTCTATTTCGTCTGAGACTAGACTGGGGATGGACCGCTTATTCAACGGGTGCGCTTTACACTTCTTGTGGTATGGTGTTCCCTGTATGACGTCTTTCTGCCGTCTAGGGTAGCCTGCGCCCAAATATATGTTTGCACCCCCACCCTTACACCCTGCATCACCCCTACACCCTACACTCCATACCCAAAAGCCCAAAATGATCATCATTATAGTAGCTTCCATTTTCTTCTCCATTATCCCTACATAACCCCAATATTACCCCTATAATGGGTCTACATTATATAGGGATCGGAAAATTCGGACTCTGAATCTCTCCCCTGATGGGGGATTCTAAGTCGCGTGAGCCTTCCTCCAACCCCCTAAGCCCCAAAAACCTAAACCACAACACCCCAGATTAATTATACAGGGCTTGTTATATAGGGCTTATGGGGGTTATATAGGGGTTGTATCAGAGCCTCAACCATCCTAAGCCGCGCGCCCCAATTACGAGCTTGCCAGGTCGTAGTGGCAACGACCTTGACCTTCTTCACATTCTTCGACCTTCCGGTCTTTTGGCCCATTCTACTTGCGTGCCCCTCCTATTTGGGGTTTCGCTTGTACATGCGGGTTCTAATTTCAGGGTCTGGATTCAGAAGAACTTGGCTTTCGATGCGGTGGGCATGAAGCCCCATGTGGGCCAGGCCTTCGCAGGATGACAGTAGCCACTCATAGGTTGCAGCGGCAATCTTTCGCAACCTACACATTGTACCATGACACTTTTCTTGTAAAACAAACCCGAAGCCTTTGATTAAGCTCTACTACTAAAGCCTTGCCCCTCTTCACCCTCAATAAAACCTTAAGTCGGCGAGAAAGCGCCTCCTGCAGACACACCAGGTTCTGAAGGGGGGCTGTTTCAACGAGCAGAGGGTCTAGGGTCTAGGGCTTGAGGAGTGTGAGGGCTACAAAGTTACCCAACATCTCGCTTGAAATGCCGCACCTTGTGAAGGTACTTCATTGTGCTGGTCGTTCTGACCATGAAAGATCGTTTGGGCCCAAGCATTCTTGTCCCAATGTAATTGTGTTTGAAGTAGTATATCATAGTATACTTATAGTATAGCATAGTATTATATCACAGTATATCACAGTATATTACAGTATATCATAGTATATTATTAAGTATGCTCTTCGCATGCTTGAAGCGGGAATCCCCTTTGCGCTTTATAAATATGTGCAAGACACATCAAGATCCGAAGCTCTACTTGGATTCCCCAAATCCCGATTATAGAACTTGACAGTAACCGATGTACAGTATGGGATCCTTTGAGTTAAAGACAGACCATCATTATATATGAGCTTATATGAGCTATTGTCTTCTAGTATCCCCCTTAATGCGCGTTTTAAAATTCCCAGATAGAAGTACTCATCCCCTTTAGGGCGTTTAGACTATAGCTTATATGGATTTGGGGGGTTCAAGCTGCAACTTCGAGGCGTTAAGGGATTCGCTTTTGCTTCTTTGGCCGGATCCAGGATGTCAAAAAGACTTACTTCCTGCATGCTGATTTCATGGCTACTTGGAGGTTCTTTTGTAGCTCCTATCGGGTACTAAACAGGGAGCCCGCAGCAAAGTCATCAAACAAATCCGAAAATACGAAAAAACGAGAGGATACTTGGGAGCCCCTTGCTAGTGCCTGACCTTGACTGCCATATTGTCCCCCCGCAGCAATTACTGTCTTAGGGCTTGCGCAGAGGTGTGAGGCACATGATGAAGCACAAGTATGTGCCCTTCTCCCTGGGCAAGCAGACCTATGGAGAGTGCGCCAAGGCGAAGCCCTAAACCCTAAATCCCCAAACCCCTAATCTCCAAAGCCCTAAACCGCCTAGAGCTCCTAAACCCTAAGAAGCCAAAGCCTAACCCCTAAACCCCTCCTTCGGGTTCTGGGCTTAGAGCCTTGAGGCTGAACTCCCGGTCGATGATTCTGGGCTTTGAGGTTTTAAAGCTTAGGGTTTAGGGGTTTGAGGGTTTAGGGTTTAGGGCTTTGGAGGCTTAGGGCTTTGGGCTTTGGTGGTTTTGGGCTTGGGGTGTAGGGGTTTGGAGGTTTAGGATTCAGGGATGGAGTCAGAAGCGATTCTTTCCCCCCAGCATGATACCATCATCCCCTGCCTTAGCTTGTTATTGTTTCATCGCTTGGGGGGGGGGGGGTGAATTAAGTTAAGTCATGTATGTACCAATGGGTATTTCCCACAGACAGGGTCCCTTTTAGTAAAACGCTTTCGCAATTACAGGCATCCTAGAATGCGGGCATAGTTTCGAGAAAGGGTTGTAATTTAGAGGCATTGGGAAGCATGAGGGGCTTGTCGAGTAGCCAGGAAACATGCAACTCTACTGAACGTGATCCTGTACGTAGTAGTTGTCAAAGCTTGGTCAATCGTTACCTTACGCTAGAATTTTGGCTTTCCTAATTACTGTATGCCATACCCAGAGTGAGGCAAAGCGTTTCCGTTTTCCAGGACAGGACGTATTGTATGGTGCTTGCGAGACAACAGTGGGTGTACACATCGAGTGTCCTTTCTTGGGGAGCCACAACAAGCCTGTGCGCTCAAGGATGGTAGCCCTTGATGGCGCCCTTTGGAATTCCATCTTGGTTTGGAGGAGTCTGCTCCATCATCACTTCCACGTCAACGCATAAGTACTGCTTTATTCCCAAAGGCTCTGGGAGACTTTGTGGTGAGTTCGTCACGTGGAATGGGGAAAAGGAACTGGACTGCAGACTGCAAGGACCACTCGCCATCAGCAAGACACTTCTGATGGCTGAATATCCAAGCTGGGAACCAAGGACACTCAAACCCAATATTTTGGGCGCAGTGTTAAGGGTAGCATGCTAAACCATAGCATTGATTCCTCCTTGGAGCCCCCCTTTTTCCTGAAGCCATGCCAGCATTCCTGCAGTCCAGAAACCCCTGCAACCCCTGATGAAGCGCTAAGTCAGACCTTACCAACATTATCCGAAAATTAAGGGTACCTATCTTTGGGCGTCCCTATAATCAGGAGTATAATTTTGGGGGGTTCTTTCTGGGGTCCCCCCATTTTGGGAAACTATCAAATCAGACCTTACCAAACACTTAAGCCAGGTAGAGGTACCCAAGGGCGATGCAGACAAGTAAGCGGCCAGGCCCGCAGATTGAGATGCAGGTTTAGCAGTTGTACTCTGGGGCTTAGGACTTATGGGTTTGCAAGGTTTAAACCTTTTTAAGGGCTTTCTCCCTAAACCCTAAACCATGGAATGTGTTTTGTGGAGTGCACTGCGTGGGATCATAAACTAAGAAAGCCCTGAGGAGACCATGGCAAAACAGGATTCGACTTCATCAATGCCTTGGGTACTGCCCCCCCCCTCAGTAACAGTTGGATAATAATTATAATATGGTCATAAATAGCCCTTAATAGGACCCCTAATATAGACTGTTACTTGGGGGGGCAGTACCCAATCAATGCCTGTTCGAAACGGAACGCTTCTTTGAGAACAGATTATGTATATCAATGTGCTGGTCGGGATGCTTTATTTGCTGATTCTCAAGGGACTAGGGTGATAGGAGAGCCGTTGGGATTCTGAGCTGGTTGACCAGGTAGCCAACCAGAACAGATATGTCATACTTTCCCCAACTACCCCACCTACACTACTCCCCCAAGGTTCCCCCTTACCAGGATGGTTTATTAGACCTTAAGGGTACCTTCAATCTACCCTAATTATGGTCCTGACAAGGATTTTTAGGGTGTACCAGCCCATAGTCCCATAGTGGTATTTTGCCCCGGCCCTAGGTAAGCCTAATGCAGGGGAAGCTCTGGGGATGGATGGTATGGGGGGGCGGGGGGAGTAGAGGACTCCATGAGAATTTGTGCTACAATGATCGTTTTGCTCCTAGTCCAAGGCTCGCAGAGCCTTAGAGCCTGGTTTAAGGGTTTAGGGTTTAAGGGTTTGCGGTTTAGGATTTAGGGTCTAGGGTTTAGGGTTTAACCCTAAGGCCTGAGGCCTCAAGCATGCAAGATAGACTTGTCATGTACTTTGGGCTTAGGATCCTTCAAGCGAGTTACATAGGGGTTATACTTAGATTGTTTTGTGGGGTATATGATTATCATAGATGCTGTGCCTTGGGGTAATCTTGCATCCCAGCGCGAACCTCATTCTGACAATCAAAAGCAACCCTAAACCAGTTCTAGGGATGCTTCTTACTTCGGGGAGGTGTAGGTTTTCTGGTTTCTTTTTATGTAATTAAGTAGGAAGGGTCTGGTCTTGTTTCTCCATATGCAGGTACGGACTTGTAAGAAGAAGGTAGTCCACGCATTCCGCTTCCAACTACGCCAAAACCCCAAACCATATCACACGGGGTGTTGTTCTCTAGGGTTTTTGAAAAGAAGAGACCATTGGGAATACACTTCCTTGAAAGGGGGTCCGGCCACACATGATGGTCATTTTGGTACAGGTACCCTGAACAAGTACCGCCCATATGGCTTAAATGTTTGGAGCTGATGAGCACACATTGATTATTGGGTATCATTTTGGCTTTTTGATTGCTCGAGCTCATGGGCATGAACGAAGCGCGGCCATGATCCCTTAAGATCCCAAGCCTAGGGCCACAAAGCAAGGGATCCTGGCAAATTGCAGGTCAGATGGAGGGCGCTGCAGCGCGAAATGTGCACGCCTCACGACGCATTATAGTCCAAAGTCATTACAGTGTGACCTTTCAGATGCCCCCAACATGGATTGTACCACAGCAGCTAGGTAGGTTCTTGGATCCATGAAAGCACAGGACTTGAGAAACGCCACTGTTACGGCCTTAGTGCAGTTCAGGGAGAAGCAGGTAGTCTGTGTGTAGGCTACCTCATGCTTCTGGACCCAGGGTGTCCAAGTACCCAGTCGGTACTTCAGTTGAGGTATATTATGAACGCACACCCGAACAACTTATGTTAATCAATTGATCTTCTTGTTGGTAAGACAGTTTGGGGGAAGTATATGTTTTTTTGGCTACTCGGACCCTTGGGGGCGGATGCCGCGGAATGCCAAGATGACCAACGGCCTTCCTCACAACGCTGGTGGAGTAGCCTGGCCGTTGTTGTCAAGCCTTTCCGGGTTTTCTGCAGAAGCCTCGAGGCTTCATAATTTGATAATGGGCTTTGGGAACTCAACCCCTAGAATAAGGACCCCCGAAGGAGCCATGTGATAGTCATAGGAGCTGCATTCCAGGGGTTGGAGTCACCAAGAAGTCCTCGAATTCTAGTAACCCATAGCCCCAGCCCAGAAAACCATGTGTTCTCCGGGGCAGTGCCGGATGCTTATGCATCTTTCTCTTGAGCACGACCCGTCCAATTTCAAAAGCTCACCGAAGGGTGGAGGCGCAGCGAGTGCGAGCGATAGGCTTTCAAATTGGAATCCGAAGTCATGTGAGCTACAGTCAGTATAAGCCTCACTAGGGAACGCTTAACGGCGAACCTAGGGCTCCCTCTTGTAGTTTAAGATAGTCTGTAATTGTCCTTAATAAGGAACCCCGTAAGGAACGCATGCCCATTCAATTATCGCGGAAATATGGTCTGTAGCTCATACTGTATGGGGTTCTCCAAAAGTCAGGGGTCGTGTTTTGCCATAGCATGGATGACTGTAATTGGGGGTCCATAATACTGGTTTCCAAAATTGCCGCATGGGCAAGGACATTGCTACAGCTGCTGGGTTCCTAGTAACCCCTTTATTCGTAAAGAAGCCACGCGACTACAGCTTTTAAATCCACATAGTCGCATTTCTACTTACCAGAACCTTCTTTGCAACCTTAAATCGGGGCATATGGTCCCTTACTAATGGTGGATATATAGAGGGTATATGGAGGGTCTTTCCCATTACCAGTCAGTCCTTTTTCTCCTGTTGGTTGTCGAGGATGCTCTGCCTTCATTCATGCGCCTTAGTCCTTCCCCTATGGGTCCAAGTACCTAAACAGTATGCAGTTTGGGCCCAAAGTACCTATATAAGAACCCAGTTAAGGCCAAATGATCTACAATTTTG